GAGCAACATCATAGGCCGTATCGATAAAATTGCAAATTAAACAGAATTTTTGGTTGGGATTTAGAATCAATTTGTACTTCGAGACTTCACTTCCAGTTTTGATGACTGAAATATTCCAGCTCGACTCCAGCGCGTTTGTCTTGAAGTTCAAACTCCAAATTGATCGCTTGACCGATCACACGATCACACCTTTTGAAAAACCACGAGAACCTAAAATTAAAAGAGAAAAGCTTGCTGCCCATTTCTTTCACGCACAAGAACCTAAGATGAAGCTTCCTGCAGTTTCTTTTGTTACTGTGACAACCCTTGAAAGAAACTAACTTATTTCAGCGTACAAATTTGGCTGAGTTCTGTTTTTATAAATTCAAACACCCGACGGAGGTGTCATTTTTGAGGAGGAACGCAACTGTGTAACGCCGGATCTCCTCACGCAAAGTGACATCTTTCATTTCGGACCCCTGTATCAGTTACAACCAGAGACACACGATGACACGGAAGTCTTTTTAACTTTGCAGTAAACTGTCCAACAACAGACTCGTTTCTGAAGGTCTGCCAGAGGATACGTTTAACTACACTTCAATATTAACGCTGTAAGAAGTTCATGGTTTCCGTTTTATTCAAGAGAAGTGTGCATGAGCTTCCCTTTAATTTTTTCTGATTTTCATTTGTTAAGTAAATTGCAACCATTAATAAAAGATATGAATAAACCTTTTTGAAAATCATAGGTAAACCAGAACGTGTAGTCTCTTTTGAGTAGAGATGACTCATTTATTCATTATATCTATTCACCCAATAGTGCATTTAGCGCAAATTACAGGACGATAATGAGTGAAGAATACATTGAAGAAATGCTCAGTTTTAGCAGTGGGGGAAAAAACCCAGATGTTTCGGGGAAAACCCACGGATTCAGGTGTGGGGACTGCAAACTTTATCCACATGTGGACTGAGCCGGATTCGAACCCAGACCGCAGAGTTGGAAGGCGAGGAAAGAAAGACTACGCCAACCTGACTCCCC